AACAAAATTGCCGCTCTACGTCGTACTTCCCACTACTCACGGCAGTGTCTGCCACCTGGTCCACGGCAGTGTCTGCCACCTGGTCCACGGCTGTGTCTGCCACCTGGTCCACGGCAGTGTCTGCCAGCTGGTCCACGGCAGTGTCTGCCACCTGGTCCACGGCAGTGTCTGCCAGCTGGTCCACGGCAGTGTCTGCCACCTGGTCCACGGCAGTGTCTGCCAGCTGGTCCACGGCAGTGTCTGTCAGCTGGTCCAGCTGGTCCACGGCAGTGTCTGCCAGCTGGTCCACGGCAGTGTCTGCCAGCTGGTCCACGGCAGTGTCTGCCAGCTGGTCCACGGCAGTGTCTGCCAGCTGGTCCACGGCAGTGTCTGCCAGCTGGTCCACGGCAGTGTCTGCCAGCTGGTCCACGGCAGTGTCTGCCAGCTGGTCCACGGCAGTGTCTGCCAGCTGGTCCACGGCAGTGTCTGCCACCTGGTCCACGGCAGTGTCTGCCAGCTGGTCCACGGCAGTGTCTGCCACCTGGTCCACGGCAGTGTCTGCCAGCTGGTCCACGGCAGTGTCTGCCAGCTGGTCCACGGCAGTGTCTGCCAGCTGGTCCACGGCAGTGTCTGCCACCTGGTCCACGGCAGTGTTTGCCAGCTGGTCCACGGCAGTGTCTGCCACCTGGTCCACAAAGTGTCTGCCACCTGGTCCACAGCAGTGTCTGCCAGCTGGTCCACGGCAATGTCTTCCAGCTTGTTCACCGCGAGCTGGATCACTGAGACAACCACCCAGATAACCAGGCTTTAGCCAATCGCAACTCCCCACAGATATCAACAGAATGTCGGGTCCTAATGGAGCTGGATCACTGAGACAACCACCCAGATAACCAGGCTTTAGCCAATCGCAACTCCCCACAGATATCAACAGAATGTCGGGTCCTAATGATACTCTTTTCTTCCATACTCTTTAACCTCATACATGCCATTACTCGCCGTCTTCTCTTTCCATACAATCCTAAAATGCTGTATCAAGAACGCCTCAGTGTGTTCCAACGTTCACCTCAGTCTTTGAAGGATTGTCATCGCTCAGGTACAGCCCCCGAGCACTCAGTCTTTCCTTGAAACGCAATAATGTAAAAATACCAAAATGTTTCTACGACACAAAAGAGGCTGTAAACCTTGATGTTCTTCGGTAATGTGTTGCGTGTGTCATACCTTAAGTAGCGCTGGTGAAGGAAGACCCGTATTTTTCCCAACTTATTCAGATATACATGGAAGTATATGCATCCAGAGGCAAGCAAAACACGACCATGGGTACCAGCACACGAGCACATACTTAAGTATATACACAAGCATGACCACAAGTCCATGCACATATGTGTGTATAATCTCCAACAGGTCTCCCACTCTACATACACTGTACACTCACAAAGCAATAATATTAAGCATATTCTAACACACTATGGCTCTGCGCGTCATATCTACAATATTCAGAATATTTGCATGATTAATCTGGCTAATGGAGCAGGAATACAGAGATAATGGACCCATTACACATGAACATTTTTACATCATATCAGCCGTTCCAGAAAGGTGATTTTGTAGATATGGTCAGATATTAGGTCTCCAGGGGTCAGGGCACTGCAGCGTGTACCGTATCCAGGGGTCAGGGTGCTGCTCTGTGTACCGTATCCAGGGGTTATGGCACTGCAGCGTGTACCGTATCCAGGGGTCAGGGTGCTGCTCTGTGTACCGTATCCAGGGGTTATGGCACTGCAGCGTGTACTGTATCCAGGGGTCAGGGTGCTGCTCTGTGTACCGTATCCAGGGGTTATGGCACTGCAGCATGTACTGTATCCAGGGGTCAGGGTGCTGCTCTGTGTACTGTAGTAGTAGGGATGGCGGTCCACACATGATATTTTGTTTTCGGCAAATATCGTGTGTAGACCGCCAGGGGTTTCAGGTAAATTTGGGCAGTCACAGATTTGGAATTAAGGAATTCGTATGAGAAAAATAATTTCTGAGATTATAGAAATTTGTTAGGAGTTCTTATGATGAAAATAATGTCATAGAAGTTTGTTAAGAGTTTTTATGGGAGAAATTCAAATATCGTGTGTAGACCGCCTGGGGTTTCAGGTGAATTTGGCCAGTCACTGATTTGGAAGTAAGGAATTCTTATGAGGAAAATAATTTCTGAGATTATAGAAGTTTGGTAAGAGTTCTTATGAGGAAAATATGTAGGAAAATTTGTTAGAATGTTTTTAAAAAATATTGTGTTTAATTTTTTTTTTTATTAACACATTTAGGTACATCTGCATTTGTGCAGCTACCCTAGACTATATGAACGGGGAGTACAGTGTGTCAAAAAGCTAGCTACGCGATGCTAAAGTCCCCATCTCGCAGGATGTTTAGTCATACAGAGGCATGTGATCAGTAGTCTGCTCTGGGAAACTCTAAACGCATTATGAGCATATCATCAACACACGAGTAAATAAGGCAGCAGTGGTACTTAGCCACCATCTCGTAGGATGGTTAGTCATACAGGGCCATATGTTCAGTAGCTTGCACTGGCAAATTTTGGGTGCATTATGAGGATATCTTCAAGAACACGAGAGCGAATAAAGTAATTGCAAAGCTCCAGGTACCTCATGCTAACGGGTCTGAATGGTCTAATAACTGGACATTCAGTGATGTAGTGCGGGAGATCGTGTCCCAGTTCCTGCTCACAGAGTTTGCACCTGGAGTGAATTCATTTTTTTTTTATTATGAAATGAGGTACATCTGCATTAGTGCAGCTACCCTAGACTATATGAAGTGGAGTCACACAGTATCCCGGTAAACTCTACGGACAATTCGTGCCTGTTTTGAAAACTGCGTATTTTTCAAAGACCATTTTCTGAGAATATGTTCATATAAGTTTGTTAATTAATTTAAGAGTTCTTATGAGGAAAATAATTTCATAGAAGTTGTTAAGAGTTCTTATGAGGAAAATAATTTCATCGAAGTTTGTTGAGAGTTCGTATGAGAGAAATTCAAATTTTTCAGAGTTCAGTTTTAAGAAAATATTTCAGAGTTTCAAGTAATCATAGAAGTTTATTTATATGTTTATTACCGAATTTTGTAAAAAAGACCATTTTCAGAGAATATTGTCTTAGATGTTTTGTTAAGGAAAACAGACATCTTAGCCATGACATTTAGTTTTATATGCATTTAAGACCGAAAATTAGTCAGAGACAGTTTAAAGCTCAAAATTCTTCAGAGTCCACTTTGTTAGCAAAATTCTTCAGAGTCAAGTTTATGCCTGAAAAAATTCAGAGTCAAGTTTTACCCTGAAGTTAACAGAGTCCATTTTATACGAAAAACTCGTCAGAGTCCACTTTGCGAGCAAAATTCTTCAGAGTCCAGTTTATGCCTGAAAATAATCAGGGTCAAGTTTTACCCTTGAAATTAACAGAGTCCTGTTGTTGATCTAAATTACTTAGAGTTCACTTTGTGAGCAAAATTCGTCAGAGCCCATTTTCAGACCAATTTTCATTAGAGTCCAGTTTATACCGAAAATTCGTCAGAGTTCACTTTGTGCCCAGAAATATTCAGAGTCCAGTAATGACGGAAATTAGGCAGAGTCCATAGACGACCAGATTTTAACTGAGTCCAGTTCATTACCAATTTTCATCAGAGTACGACGTAGAGCGGCAGTCGAAAAAAAACAAAATTGCAGGTCTAAAAGTTGAAAATAACCCTACGACGTAGAGCGGCAGTCGAAAAAAACAAAATTGCCGCTCTACGGCGTACGACGTAGAGCGGCAGTCGAAAAAAACAAAATTGCAGGTCTAACAGTTGAAAATACCCCTACGACGTAGAGCGGCAGTCGAAAAAAAACAAAATTGCAGGTCTAAAAGTTGAAAATACCCCTACGACGTAGAGCGGCAGTCGAAAAAAACAAAATTGCCGCTCTACGGCGTACGACGTAGAGCGGCAGTCGAAAAAAACAAAATTGCCGCTCTACGTCGTACTTCCCACTACTCCAGGCCCACACCCGTGTGTTGGGTGCCAGGCCCACACACACGTGTCGGGTGCCAGGCCCCCACCCGTGTGTCGGGTGCCAGGCCCCCACCCGTGTGTCGGGTGCCAGGCTCACACACATGTCTGGTGCCAGGTTCACACATGTCTGGTGACAAGGCCAACACCCGTGTGTCTGGTGCCAGGCCTACACCCGTGTGTTGGGTGCCAGGCTCACACACGTGTGTTGGGTGCCAGGCCCACACACACGTGTGTCGGGTGCCAGGCCCCCACCCGTGTGTCGGGGGCGAGGCCCCCACCCGTGTGTCGGGTGCCAGGCTCACACACATGTCTGGTGCCAGGTTCACACATGTCTGGTGACAAGGCCAACACACGTGTGTCTGGTGCCTGTACACCATAAGTGTACAGGTTCTGCTCTATACTTTGACAGTACAGGTGCTAGTTTACACCTTGACAGTACAGGTGCTAGTTTACACCTTGACAGTACAGGTGCTAGTTTACACCTTGACAGTACAGGTGCTAGTTTACACCTTGACAGTACAGGTGCTAGTTTACACCTTGACAGTACAGGTACTAGTTTACACCTTGACAGTACAGGTACTAGTTTACACCTTGACAGTACAGGTGCTAGTTTACACCTTGACCGTACAGATGCTAGTTTACACCTTGACAGTACAGGTGCTAGTTTACACCTTGACAGTTCATGTGCTAGTTTACACCTTGACAATGCAGGTCCCTAGTTTACACCTTGACAGTGCAGGTGCTAGTTTACACCTTGACAATGCAGGTCCCTAGTTTACACCTTGACAATGCAGGTCCCTAGTTTACACCTTGACAGTGCAGGTGCTAGTTTACACTGACCGTACAGATGCTAGTTTACACCTTGACAGTACAGGTACTAGTTTACACCTTGGCCTTACAGGTGCTAGTAATTGTCACAGGAACAATGACTATTATTGATGCTACAGTAACACTGTATCATGTATTATAAAAAAGTAATGAATGTAGTTCTGTACATCACGACTGAAGCATCACGAAGAGGCAGTAATAAATATTGTTATTACAGGCAAGAGAACTCTGCTGATCATACTACATACAAGTTCCTGAACATTACTCCAGTCATCTCCCAGCAAGGTAAGGCTCATTACCCCAGTCGTCACCCAGCAAGGTAAGGCTCATTACTCCAGTCGTCACCCAGCAAGGTAAGGCTCATTACCCCAGTCATCACCCAGCAAGGTAAGGCTCATTACCCCAGTCATCACCCAGCAAGGTAAGGCTCATTACTACAGTCATCACCCAGCAAGGTAAGGCTCATTACTACAGTCATCACCCAGCAAGGTAAGGCTCAATACTCCAGTCATCACCCAGCAAGGTAAGGCTCATTACCCCAGTCATCACCCAGCAAGGTAAGGCTCATTACCCCAGTCGTCACCCAGCAAGGTAAGGCTCATTACCCCAGTCATCACCCAGCAAGGTAAGGCTCATTACTACAGTCATCACCCAGCAAGGTAAGGCTCATTACCCCAGTCATCACCCAGCAAGGTAAGGCTCATTACTACAGTCATCACCCAGCAAGGTTAGACTCATCTCTAATACATCTAATACATTACCACAGTCATCACCCAGCAAGGTAAGACTCATCTCTAATACATCTAATACATTACCACAGTCATCACCCAGCAAGGTAAGACTCATCTCTAATACATCTAATACATTACCACAGTCATCACCCAGCAAGGTAAGACTCGTCTCTAATACATCTAATACATTACCACAGTCATCACCCAGCAAGGCAAGGCTCGTCTCTAATACATTACCACAGTCATCACCCAGCATCTTCAGAGGTTATCTTGAGATGATTTCGGGGCTTTAGTGTCCCCGCGGCCCGGTCCTCGACCAGGCCTCCAACCCCCCAGAAAGCAGCCCTTGACAGCTGACTAATTCCCAGGTACCTATTTACTTCTAGGTAACAGGGGCATCCGGGTGAAAGAAACTCTGTCCATCGTTTCTCTCCCGGGATCGAACCCGGGACCACAGGTTCACGCGTCCAGTATTTTGTCCACTCAGCCACCGGCTCCCTAGCATGGTAACACTCATCACACTGGAAATCCTAAATACTCTATTAGCTTCTGCATGTTGCTATCTCTTATGTTACGGTAAAAAATATTTATACAATTAAGTACAATCTAATCTGTTTAGTTTGAACTTATAAAAGTACTCTTGCACTAAAGCAGTTAATGTCAACAGACCTGGCTGAGGATGTGATCATTGTCCACAACTCGTACTCTGGGAACAACAGCCGACTGGACCTCACCTGCTTGGCCAGCGACACCAACAGGCGGCTCACTGAGGAGGATATTTTATCCTGGCGCTATACAAAGCCTGATTTTGATTTAAAAAATTTTCGTAAGTATTATGGAAATATCTGTAGATTCTCATATATGTTTGTGATTATAATTCCTTTATGGTTTCATATATTTCTGGCAGTACAGTCGGTGTCCCGGTAGTACAGTCGGGGTCCCGGTAGTACAGTCGGGGTCCCGGTAGTACAGTCGGGGTCCCGGTAGTACAGTCGGGGTCCCGGTAGTACAGTCGGGGTCCCGGTAGTACAGTCGGGGTCCCTGCAATACAGTTGTGTCCAGGTAGTACAGTCGTGTCCCGGTAGTACAGTCGGAGTCTCGGTAGTACAGTCGGTGTCCAGGCAGTACAGTCGTGTCCCGGTAGTACAATCGGGGTCCTGTAGTACAGTCGGGATCCCGGTAGTACAGTCGGGGCTCCAGTAGTACAGTCGGGGTCCCGGTAGTACAGTCGGGGTCCAGGCAGTACAGTCGTGTCCCGGTAGTACAGTCGGGGTCCCGGTAGTACAGTCGGGGTCCAGGCAGTACAGTCGGGGTCCCGGTAGTACAGTCGGGGTCCTGGTAGTACAGTCAGGGTCCAGGCACAACCCGTTCTCGCAAATTCGTAAAGTCAATATTGACTTATTAACTACGTGCATAGGTGATATACTAAACATAATAGATACCCTTAAAAAGATTCATAGAAAACACCAACCTTACCTAACCTTGTTAGTATCTTAAGATAAGCATCTTAGTGCTTCGTAATTACAATTATTACTTAACCTATACCTATTATAGGTTAGGTAATAATTGTAATTACGAAGCAATAAGATGCTTATCTTAACATACTAAGTAGGTTAGGTACGGTCGGTGTTTTCTATGAAGCTTTTCAAGGGAAACTATTATGTTAAGTATGTCACCTATGCACATATTTAATAAGTCAATATTGACTTATTAAATTTGCGAGAACGGGTTGCCAGGCATTACAGTCGGGGTCCTGGTAGTACAGTCGGTGTTCCTGGTAGTACAGTCGGGGTCCTGGTAGTACAGTCGGGGGTCCCGGTAGTACAGTCGGGGGTCCCGGTACTACAGTCGGGGGTCCCAGTAGTACAGTCGGGGTCCCGATAGTACAGTCGGGGTCCCGATAGTACAGTAGGTGTCCTGGTAGTACAGTCGGGGTCCCGGTAGTACAGTCGGGGGTCCCAGTAGTACAGTCGGGGTCCCGGTAGTACAGTCGGGGTCCTGATAGTACAGTTGGGGTCCTGGTAGTACAGTTGGGGTCCTGGTAGTACAGTCGGGGTCTCGGTAGTACAGTCGGGGTCCCGGTAGTACAGTCGGGGTCCTGGTAGTACAGTCGGGGTCCTGATAGTACAGTTGGGGTCCTGGTAGTACAGTCGGGGGTCCCAGCAGTACAGTCGGGGTCCCGGTAGTACAGTCGGGGTCCCGGTAGTACAGTCGGGGTCCTGATAGTACAGTTGGGGTCCTGGTAGTACAGTCGGGGTCTCGGTAGTACAGTCGGGGTCCTGATAGTACAGTTGGGGTCCTGATAGTACAGTCGGGGTCCCGGTAGTACAGTCGGGGTCCTGGTAGTACAGTCTGTGGTCCTGGTAGTACAGTCGGGGTCCCGGTAATACAGTCGGGGTCCCGGTAGTACAGTCGGGGTCCTGATAGTACAGTCGGGGTCCTGGTAGTACAGTCGGGGTCTCGGTAGTACAGTCGGGGTCCCGGTAGTACAGTCGGGGTCCTGGTAGTACAGTCGATGGTCCTGGTAGTACAGTCGGGGTTCTGGTAGTATAGTTAAGGTCCTAGTAGAACAGTTGGGGTCCCGGCCAACCCGTTCTCGCACTTTCGTACAGTCAATATTGACTTATTAAATAAGTGCATATGTGAAATACTAATTTATTGTGAATATTTTAGTTTACCTTGAAAAGCTTCATAGAAAACATTGACCTTACCTAACCTTCTTAGTATGTTAAGATAAGCATCTTATTGCTTCTTAATTACAATTATTACTTAACCTATTATACGTATAGGTTAAGTAAGCATCTTATTGCTTCTTAATTACAATTATTACTTAACCTATTATAGGTATAGGTTAAGTAATAATTGTAATTACGAAGCAATAAGATGCTTATCTTAACATACTAAGAAGGTTAGGTAAGGTCGGTGTTTTCTTTGAAGCTTTTCAAGGTAAACTAAAATATTCACAATAAATTAGTATGTCACATATGCACTTATTAAATGTCAAAATTGACTGTACGAAATTGCGAGAACGGGTTGGTCCCGGCAGTACAGTCGGGGTCCTGGTAGTACAGTCGGGGTTCGTTCTCGACACACAGTCGAGAATTCCGGGTTCTAATCCCGGGCGGGACAATAATGGGTTGGTCACATTTATATCACCTAATGTGCTTGTCCACCTGGCAGTAAGTGGGTACTCAGGAGTCTGCTCTTTGTGGGGTCGCATCCAATCACTGACCCAGCATCCTGTGCGGGGTCAGTGATTCGACCTTGGAATGGGGGATGAACCTTGATATAAGGCTAACGATTATGAATAATGAATTTTTACAGCTCTGTTGATGGATTGACGGATTTTAACAATTTCTACAACAATGTTGATGGATTGAAGAAGTTTTTAATTTTTTAGAACAATGTTGATGGATTGATGGATTTTTTAAATTTTTACAACAATGTTGATGGATTGGCGGATTTTTACAATTTGTACAACAATGTTGATGGGTTGACGGACTTTTACCATTTTTACAACAATGTTGATGCACTAGTTAGTGCAGTTTGGATTAATATAACTGCAGTGTAACGCTAAGCATTAGGGCAGTTCGCAGTGTCAGCACGTCGTCCCTTGGTGACAAAGGGAACACTACGAGGAAAGTAGGCTAGGACTTGCCTCCTGTGGCATGTTGGTTGTGGTGCACCTCACTGTTAATGTGACAGAGATTCCTCCTGCGGCATGTTGGTTGTGGTGGACCTCACTGTTAATGTGACAGAGATTCCTCCTGCGGCATGTTGGTTGTGGTGGACCTCATTGTTAATGTGACAGAGCTTCCTCCTGCGGCATGTTGGTTGTGGTGGACCTCACTGGTAACGTGACAGTGCACAGCGAGAAGGTATCAATAGGACTTGGATCATCTAAAACCGTATGCATCTGAGGGACAAGGTCTTATAATTTAGCTCCTGTTTGTATCCGTTTTCGTATATTAGCAAAATGCTAGATTTCTAGATGTAAGTTGACCAGACCACACACTAGAAAGTGAAAGTGACTAGTGTGTGGTCTGGTGAACATGCTTCAGCCACGTTATTGTGACTCATCGCCTGCATTCTAGATGTAACTTTTCTGTTAACAGGAACTTGTATATCTTTGAAAGTGGTGTGTATAGAGCATTAAGCCCGTCTCTAAATACCGTCGGTGAGACCTTGTATAGAATATTGTCTAGAAAAAATGCATTTCACTGAGTTTTCATTTCTTACCTTATTTAAATTACTTCTTCCTAGTCTTCTTTGTGGACAGTACCAAAGCCCTGCAGGCAGTCTATACTAACGGCCTCCATAAAGCAATGCTAATTATTTCGCTTTACATTGCTTGTTTTCTCCATTTGTTCTTCCCATCTGTGAATACTCCTTTTCTCCTAAATCTTTCAGGGTTTTCATGTCAGTAATGTTTGCCAGCTGTTTAGCAGTTCTGTAATTTTTTCCTTTATAGATGCCAGGTAGTCGTCGTCTCTTATTGAGGTGTTGTGGATCCTCGTTAATGCTTTACATGTACTTCCCTCTGCTTCTGTAAATATTTAGGTTGAGATATAATCTTGTAACACTCTTTTTAGTTATGTGTAGATCCTTCAGTACTACCTCTTAGACAATAATATCACTGTCATTCGTTTTTCCCATCTCTTCAGTGTCTAGATTCTTTAGATCCTTCAGTGCCTCCTCTTACAATAATGTTATTCATCCTCTTCAATATGTCAATTGTTGTAACTAGTGTTCTTAACATTTAATCCCACACTATAATTCACACTGGTGGTGTTAGCACTCCTCCTCGTCCATTACTGCCGGGTGTCTCCCTCACATTATACATTTTGTTTCATTTGCTCAGTTAAATTATTCCAGAAAAGGTTTATAATAATACGGTTACACCATCACGAACAAATTCGTATAGTTACTCTCACTATATTGCATGCTTCAACTTCTGGGCTTCCATCTCATAACAATTGATCATATACTGTGATTGTTGGAAAAAAAAGTTGTTGCGTCTGCCACAAGTAAACAATCCTTCCTGGTACAGATACCGGTTGAATCTCCCATCTGGGTAAATCAGAAATTATTTTTTTAATTTGCAATAACAGGGATTTTACGTTCTGTTTTGTTTAAAGTTTCTATATCTCACTTTATGCTAGAATAAGTTTAGTGTTTTTCTTCCTGCCTGAGTGAGTTGCTGTTGTTGAGACGTCGTGGCCTGCTTGACTGGCAAAGACAAGTTACTTGACCATTCATCATATTATATCATTGAAAAGTTCTGAAAACGGCCGCAGACACTTTGAAACTGATGTCATACTTGGCTTGTTTACATTTATATTTGTATTTAAAGGAATTCGGAGTAAATTATATATATTTTTATTGTTAACTCCACAGAGGAGAGGTTTACAGAAAGTGGCAAGTGTGTATTCCCGTATAACTATGGGGGAAAGGAATACTGGGAGTGCAGTTACATAAGGAGTAAACACCCGTGGTGCGGCACGGACCCGATTAAGGATCCTACATCCACCAGCAACTGGGACTACTGCACAAAAAACAAAGGTAAATGCTCGGTCTTGTCTTTTACTTGATACTGAAATTGAACATTTTATTTGTCTGTTGCATGAATTTGATATTCCCATCTGTGCATGTCTGTTTGAGAGGTAATATTGACCTTCAGGATGGATAAATCCATTCTCAACTTGAAACAAGTTTTTGATTTTCCTCTTCATTCAACTTTGGATGTATAGGACCATTCACAGCTGACCTATGGGTATATATGGTGCCTCACAGCTCAGCTGTTATTGTACAGTAGCTATGTTCTCGGTTTACAATTGATGATTCCAGACAGAACAGAAATGTTAGGCACGCTTCCTTTCACCTAATGCGTCAGTTTACTATAAGTTAATAGATACCCAGGAGTTAAGCAACTGTTGTGGGGTTGCACCTGGGGGAAGATCAGTAGTTCGACTTTGGGTAGACCTCGATACAAGCCTAAAGTATATATATACACAGGCTTCCTGTGTATATATATACACAGGAAGCAAAACTAATTAGTATGCATTATTTATTAATCCTCCATGACCTTGAAGAGGACGATGTTTCATTATTAGGAATGCATGGATGTTAGGCCCTTTCCATAAAGTACCGTCCTCATAAAGATTATGGAGGGTAACACTTGTTAAGAGGAATGTATTTTGTTACTGGGAAGGACATTACAAGTGGCATCTTCCACAACATAAGTTAAGCAACTCGTATTCATTCATTATTATCATTTATATTCAGGAAGATGGGCTATTTACCAGAAGTCACCAAGAGGAGTCAATGTACGAGCTGTAAGATGCCTGGGAAGGAGTTCTGCTACAGATGTTCTGGCCGTTGTGCAAGTCCCACACCGTGAGCCCTGGCCCATATGCCAAGTTATCTTTTATTTCTTGCTATTTGGGAACTTTTTTATATAATGATCTTGACATGAATTTAGTCGTCCTCCATAAATATATTTGTGTTGCTAAAGATTAAGCTTCAGCATCCTCCAATAATATATAAATTAGAAAAATATAACTTTTCTCTTCCCTTTGTCCATATAAGATGCTAAAGTCCTTTATATATACATATTATTCTTTTATACAAACAAATTGTTTTATTGAAGTGAAATGATGCCTTTATAAATATGTGCAAGTACAGAGTAGTGTTTGAGAGAAGGAAGGTGTCTTGGGCAGTGAAAGTCTGATTTACACCAACCCAAGCTCTTCCCTCAACCTTCTTAGGTTACACCAGGCCAAGTTCTACATAAACCTTCTTAGTTTACACCAGCCCAGGCTCTACTCTCAACCTTCTTAGGTTACACCAGCCCAGACCCTACTCTCAACCGTCTTTGTTTACACCAAAGTATTAGACAATAACCAATAATGAGTAATGATTGATGATGACATTGTTTTACCTTCCAGAGTTTTACGTGTCAAACACAAGCACCATTCGCGCCAGCCTTGGAGACCACTTGAGGGTTCCCATCACCAAGACCAAGGATCTGCCCGATGAAGTGTTCATCCGCAGACTTCCAGATGGATGGATGTATGGGGCTGAAATCACTGCTAATGTTTCCCTTAACTTGACCTTTGACCCGGTCACACTCGGAGACGCTGGAATATACATCCTTGGTAATGATGGCACATCTAACAAACTGAAAACCTTTAATGAAGCCAAGGCCAAGGTTGAAATTAATGGTGCTTATTTACATCTAATTGTTCGAGGTAAGTTTTTGGGTCTGCAGTATTTTTCATGTTTCGTTTTTGTCTGCTGTGTTACATGTTGCTAAGATGGTTGTCTACACTGTGGTGTATGTTGCTAAGATGGTTGTCTACCCTGTGGTGTATGTTGCTAAGATGGTTGTCTACCCTGTGGTGTATGTTGCTAAGATGGTTGTCTACTGTGGTGTATGTTGCTAAGATGGTTGTCTACCCTGTGGTGTATGTTGCTAAGATGGTTGTCTACCCTGTGGTGTATGTTGCTAAGATGGTTGTCTACCCTGTGGTGTATGTTGCTAAGATGGTTGTCTACCCTGTGGTGTATGTTGCTAAGATGGTTGTCTACTGTGGTGTATGTTGCTAAGATGGTTGTCAACCCTGTGGTGTATGTTGCTAAGATGGTTGTCTACTGTGGTGTATGTTGCTAAGATGGTTGTCTACTGTGGTGTACGTTGCTAAGATGGTTGTCTACTGTGGTGTATGTTGCTAAGATGGTTGTCTACTGTGGTGTATGTTGCTAAGATGGTTGTCTACTGTGGTGTATGTTGCTAAGATGGTTGTCTACTGTGGTGTATGTTGCTAAGATGGTTGTCTACCCTGTGGTGTATGTTGCTAAGATGGTTGTCTACCCTGTGGTGTATGTTGCTAAGATGGTTGTCTACCCTGTGGTGTATGTTGCTAAGATGGTTGTCTACTGTGGTGTATGTTGCTAAGATGGTTGTCTACCCTGTGGTGTATGTTGCTAAGATGGTTGTCTACCCTGTGGTGTATGTTGCTAAGATGGTTGTCTACCCTGTGGTGTATGTTGCTAAGATGGTTGTCTACCCTGTGGTGTATGTTGCTAAGATGGTTGTCTACTGTGGTGTATGTTGCTAAGATGGTTGTCAACCCTGTGGTGTATGTTGCTAAGATGGTTGTCTACTGTGGTGTATGTTGCTAAGATGGTTGTCTACTGTGGTGTACGTTGCTAAGATGGTTGTCTACTGTGGTGTATGTTGCTAAGATGGTTGTCTACTGTGGTGTATGTTGCTAAGATGGTTGTCTACTGTGGTGTATGTTGCTAAGATGGTTGTCTACTGTGGTGTATGTTGCTAAGATGGTTGTCTACCCTGTGGTGTATGTTGCTAAGATGGTTGTCTACCCTGTGGTGTATGTTGCTAAGATGGTTGTCTACCCTGTGGTGTATGTTGCTAAGATGGTTGTCTACTGTGGTGTATGTTGCTAAGATGGTTGTCTACCCTGTGGTGTATGTTGCTAAGATGGTTGTCTACCCTGTGGTGTATGTTGCTAAGATGGTTGTCTACCCTGTGGTGTATGTTGCTAAGATGGTTGTCTACTGTGGTGTATGTTGCTAAGATGGTTGTCAACCCTGTGGTGTATGTTGCTAAGATGGTTGTCTACTGTGGTGTATGTTGCTAAGATGGTTGTCTACTGTGGTGTATGTTGCTAAGATGGTTGTCTACCCTGTGGTGTATGTTGCTAAGATGGTTGTCTACTGTGGTGTATGTTGCTAAGATGGTTGTCTACTGTGGTGTATGTTGCTAAGATGGTTGTCTACTGTGGTGTACGTTGCTAAGATGGTTGTCTACTGTGGTGTATGTTGCTAAGATGGTTGTCTACTGTGGTGTATGTTGCTAAGATGGTTGTCTACTGTGGTGTATGTTGCTAAGATGGTTGTCTACTGTGGTGTATGTTGCTAAGATGGTTGTCTACCCTGTGGTGTATGTTGCTAAGATGGTTGTCTACCCTGTGGTGTATGTTGCTAAGATGGTTGTCTACTGTGGTGTATGTTGCTAAGATGGTTGTCTACCCTGTGGTGTATGTTGCTAAGATGGTTGTCTACCCTGTGGTGTATGTTGCTAAGATGGTTGTCTACCCTGTGGTGTATGTTGCTAAGATGGTTGTCTACTGTGGTGTATGTTGCTAAGATGGTTGTCAACCCTGTGGTGTATGTTGCTAAGATGGTTGTCTACTGTGGTGTATGTTGCTAAGATGGTTGTCTTCTGTGGTGTATGTTGCTAAGATGGTTGTCTACCCTGTGGTGTATGTTGCTAAGATGGTTGTCTACTGTGATGTATGTTGCTAAGATGGTTGTCTACTGTGGTGTATGTTGCTAAGATGGTTGTCTACTGTGGTGTATGTTGCTAAGATGGTTGTCTACTGTGATGTATGTTGCTAAGATGGTTGTCTACTGTGGTGTATGTTGCTAAGATGGTTGTCCCAATAGAAACTAAAACTTCAAAGAGACAGATGCAGATAAATTGGACTAGAAGGAAATCTAGTTGATTGTTTCTTATTATTCCTTGCAGACAAATATAGGTAGCTTTTGTTGCAGCAATAATTAAATATTCTCCGTACTCCTGGGTGTTTATAGTCGAGTGTGTTATAAGGCGGTTGTTGGTATTCAAGTGTCTTATAAGGGTTGTTGGTCAGTCCGTCCTCTCTAGCGTTCACAATGTCGCTAAACTGATGTACTAAATTGCCCAAACCTAACCTAACCAAGGATCTACAAATAGGAAACGTGGCACCACATGAATTTTATGAGCGCTATGATTTTTAAAATAGTGATATATATATATATATATATATATATATATATATATATATATATATATATATATATATATATATATATATATATATATATATATATATATATAATATACATATATATAATATACATATATATAATATACATATATAATATATATATATATATGACTGCTACCAAATCCGCTCCGAGGACATTATCAGGTGGGGAGTTTGACTGGGGCGGTACATCTGTCAAATGATAACGCAGGTGTCCTAAGGCCAGCTCAGCGTGGACAAAAACCTCGCATAGAGCATATATATATATATATATATATATATATATATATATATATATATATAATGTGCTGCTATATATATACATATAGATTGCTACCAAAATATACTAATATTAAAACGCACGACCCAGCAGCAAGGAATCAAGCCTTCACGATAAAATATCGCCAGGATCTGATTCGTGATCAGATGTACAAGGCAGAGAATGAAATCAAAGACAACAAAACGCAACTACTTCATGCTACGAACGAGTGGAGAAATAGCAACATCAACGAAAGTCTCCGTGCTCGCATTGATCAACACCTCGACATCCTCACAGACCGACATCACCTCAGCACTGAATCAAGGATTATCAAGAAACTAACAACATTATATGAAGGACCTATGGCAATTCCACGACCAAGAGATGGCTTCCTGAACCTTGCAGGAATCAACCTCACTGAGGACCAAGTCACTCTCCTAAATCTGGGCATAAACTGTCACGTTATGTCCAGACCGAGTGAGATGGCCCGGAAAGTGGAGTTGGAGATTCTGTTGGACGACATATTCGACCTCGAGACACAAAAGAAGGTCACCACCAAAGATACCTTACAAGCAGAACTTATTGCGGAAGGAGGAAAGAATCGAGGCAATTACAGAAGCACCATACTGTCCCCCGAGCTCAAAGCGGCAGCTAAAAGCTTTCGTGAGAACAAGGAGATAGTTGTCAGGAGAGGTGACAAGTCGCCAATATACGTCATTCTTAAAAAAGACGAATATCTGGCGAAAATGAACCTCATACTCTCTGACCAAACTAAATTCCAAAGGGTAACGAAGGACACTACAGCCGAACTGAAAGCAAAGGTCAACAAATTGATCGAAACTGTGAACGCCAAGAAATCTGGACTCCACCTGCCAAAGATTATTGGTGAATATAAACCTGGATATGCGTATGGAAATGTCAAGACACACAAGCCTGGAAACCCACTTCGGCCAATCATCAGCCAGATACCCACACCCACGTACAGACTGGCGAAACGACTCAACGGCTTGCTGACTCCTTATGTCCCTTGCACCTTCAGCCTGAAGTCTACAAAGGAATTTGTTGACTTGCTGCGGGAAACACGGGCCACAGGGATAAGAGCCTCGTTGGACGTAGAATCTCTGTTTACCAACGTACCTGTGGATGAAACAATCGGGATGATAGCCGACAGAGTGTACCGTGATGCGGCCTGTACTCCTCTTGACATACCAGAAAACAGTCTAAGGAAACTTCTCCAAGCTTGTACTAAAGAGGCACCCTTCTTGAACCCGGATGGACACATGTATAAGCAAGTAGATGGGGTCGCCATGGGTTCTCCCCTAGGTGTCCTGTTTGCAAACTTCTACATGGGTACCATCGAGCAAAAAGTCTTAGTCGACATGAACTTGAAACCGGCCATATACTGCAGGTATGTTGACATTTTTACACAGGTACCTGATGTCAGACATCTGCAGGAGCTGAAGGAGGCATTTGAGCAGAATTCTGTGT